TGTCTTTTGTGACTGTGTGCCATTGGAAATTGCTTGGTGTGCCATGTGTGGCACATATGCCATAGGTTGCCTAACCCTGTGCTAGATAATGAATAGACCATGTTACTTTTTACAGTACCATGAATATCTATCTATCTATCTATCTATCTATCTATCTATCTATCTATCTATCTATCTAATGCAATATTTTCATATCTATCTATCACAATTTAGTTAGAAAACCAGCTAGATATTGAATGGTTAATTTTCTACAGTACCATGCATATCTATTTATATTTATATATATATATATATATATATATATCTTGCAATATTTCCATATCTATCTATCACAACCACTTCCTACCTAGCTAGGCAGCCAGCTAAGTATTGAATAGTTCATGTTTCTACCATGCATATCTATCTATCTATCTATCTATCTATCTATCTATCTATCTATCTATCTTTTGAAATATTTTCAAATATATCACATTCATTTCATATATAGTTAGCTAAGTAGCTAGATATTGACTAGTTCGTGTTTCTTTCTGCAGCAAAATGGATATCTATCTATCTATCTATCTATCTATCTATCTATCTATCTATCTTTTGAAATATTTTCAAATCTATTTAGTGTGCTCACTAGATCAGGTGTTGGCAACCTTCTGCTAACTATGTGCCGACTTAGGGTTTTGAAATCATTTAGTATCCCAACAGCATACGTATTTTTATACAAGTCAAGATCAATATCTATCTATCTATCTATCTATCTATCTATCTATCTATCTATCTATCTATCTATCTATCTAATGCAATATTTTCATATCTATCTATCACAATCTAGTTAGAAAACCAGCTAGATATTGAATGGTTAATGTTTCTACAGTACCATGCATATCTATTCATATATATATATATATATATATATATATATATATATCTTGCAATATTTCCATATCTATCTATCACAACCACTTCCTACCTAGCTAGGCAGCCAGCTAAGTATTGAATAGTTCATGTTTCTACCATGCATATCTATCTATCTATCTATCTATCTATCTATCTGTTGCAATATTTTCATATCTATCACAATCACTTCATATCTTGCTAAGGAGCTAGATAAGCTTCAGCACGATGAAGAAATTCTAAGCAAGCCAAGAATCCAGTGGCTCAAACACAATCTGAGAGCTGTTTGGTCAAATCTCAATCAGGGACTATCATTAATACTTAGCAACCATCTAATGGGCCCCATTAACCAGCAAACCAGATCTTTCTTTTGAGTTGTGCACAAGGTTTGTCTTGTTTGATGTGGCAACTACAAAAGGGGATAGGAAAGAAGAGATGCAACCCAAATTATCGACAGATTGAGAAGAGTAAAGTAAGAGCAGAGCAGAGTGTTGTGAAGAGCCGACTCAAAGAAGCTCCAATTCATGAGGGAGAAGGCCTTAAGGACCTGCTTAATGATATTAAAGAAATGATCTTAGTGATCTCTAGAGTTTGGAACTAACAAAAACATTGGAAGACAAAGCGAGATTATTTTGCAATTATCCTTACACTTTTTCATAGGAGGAAATCAGGAACCACCTGAGAATGATGTATTCTGATTCTCGGAAAGATGTTCCAATTCCTTCTTTGAATAATCTTGCTATGTTTGAAGATCCAGTGGTCATATTTAATTACAGTGGACTAAATCTGAGCAAAACTTTTGGAATTCATCCACAAATCCTGTGCTGGTAGTGCACCTGGAATAAATAGAATATCATACAAGTTATATAAGAATTGTCCAAACATCCTCAATAAACTAACCATCCTCTTCCAGCTGGCATAGAAACAAGGTATTGTAGCACAAGAATAGTGCCTAGCAAATGGTATTTGGATACCTAAAGAAAAGAATGCAAAGGCATTGCAAATTTCTGCTCCATCTCCCTCTTAAATATAGAGGAGAAAATATTTTTTGGGGTCCTTGCTTGTCGTATGACAGAGTTCCTTTTAGATAACCATTACATCAACACAGCTGTCCAGAAGGCTGGGATACCTGGCTTCCCCCGGCTGTCTGGAGAATCTACACATGATTTGAAACTCAATCCTATCAGGCAAACAATATAAAACTGAGATTCATATAATTTGGCTTGATCTTGCGAATATATACAGATCAGTCAGTTCCTCATGAGTTAATTTAAATACCACTTGAATTTTTGAACTTCCCTAGTTAAGCTTATAATGAAATATTTCAGAGCAGCATTGATGCAGTTCACTACTTGTAAATACAGCGCCAAGTGGCAAGCCCTCAAGGTTGGCATCATAATGGGGTTTGTGATTTTACCACTTTTTTAATTATGTCCATGGGACTCACATTATGGTGCGCAACAAACACAGCAAAGGGATGACATTTTGGTCATGTCTAAGGTCGGCACTGATGAGCTGCTGCAGCACTAACATAAGTTCTTCATGTGGGTGAGAATGAAGGCTAAACCCAAGAAATTCTGGAGCTTATCATTACTCAGAGGCTCTGTCAGGGGGATTCACTTCTGCATTCGGGGTGACATGATCTTGACAGACAAAGAAAAGGCAGTGAATATCCTCGGAGAGCTGTATGAAATTTCACTGACTGATTGACACTAAGTAAAGAGATGACATTAGATAGACTTGAATGCATTGACAGAACCCATCTCTTCATCAAACTGATGTCGATGCTGCCAACATGATTAGCTGCCCCAGCTTCTGTCTCTGTTGCAAGTGTAGGATATTACCCTGTCTTGGAGACAACACAACAGTATATCAAGTACCTGTGCAAGTGTCTTGTTCCCCCCTGCTTCTCCACAGTGGGACTCTATACCAATGCTGTAAACCTGCAACTTCCCATCTCCCCATTCGTGGAGGAGTTCAAGGTTGGGAAGGTACGTCTTCACATGATGGTGAGGGACTTGGCCAGTTAGTTTGTACTCAGATAAAGCCAGAAATCAAAACTGGCACCAAATAGTCAGCAGTAGAAGCCTCCTAGTCTGCGAATGAAGGAGACTATAGTGTGGGGGGGTCCCCAAACCAATCAAGCTGACCTAGTTTTTCTTTAAACAGTCTCCAAACAAGACAAAAACAAGACATGGTGATTGAATAAATCAGGAATATTTCGAGGAAGAACAACAAACAGCTATTGCTGCTTCTCAATCCAATGTGCTTCGACTACATGGTGTGATATTGATCCAATGAAGTTATACCATGATTGCAATGGAGCCACTGGCAATATTATTCATTCTGTGAACTACCTATGATTTCCTACCAAACGCAATCAACCTCAAGCTGTGGGGTTACATTGATACCAATGTATGCACATTATTTCAAAGTAATTGAGGCAATTTATGTCATGTGCTCTCTGCATGCCCACAATGTCTGAAGATGTACACATGGTGTCATAACAAAGTGCTGGAAATGGTCATGGATTTAGTCAGTATTCAGTGTGAAGCAGTCAACAAACAGCCTGTAATGGTCAGAGAATCTATGATCCAATTTCACAAGGAAGGTGAACACCCGGTGTAAAAGACCCAAATAACTCTCAACATGACATTTTTGAGTGAAGACCAGTTGATCTTAGAACAGCTCTGCAATTTCCAGTACACATCATTCAGACAGATGCACACCCTAACATTATAAAGTGATCTTAATCAGAGAAGTATGTTCTCTGAGTAAAATTAATGGTTTCATGGGAGGAGAAGAGGGAGGAGGTGCATGAGCAAAAGCAACACCACTACAAAGAGGTGGACATGTCATGCGCTACCTATTGAGTTCAGGTGCAGTGGATTACTTTACCTATCTATCTATCTATCTATCTATCTATCTATCTATCTATCTATCAACCGTTTTATATCTATCTATCTATCTATCTATCTATCTATCTATCTATCTATCAACCGTTTCATATCTATCTATCTAGCTAGCTAGCTAGCTATCTCAGTCTATCTATCTATCTATCTATCTATCTATCTATCTATCTATCTATCTATTAACCTATGTATCAATTGCAATATTTTCATATCTATCCATTACAATAAATTTATATCAACCTACCGAGCTAATTACATATTGAATAGTGTAGTTTATTTCTATAGTATCATGTGGGTCTACATATCTATCTATCTATTGTAATATTTTTATATCTATCTGTCACAAGCATTTCATATCTCGCTAGGCAGCTTGCTAGATATTCAATAATTAATGTTTCTTTCTACAGTATCATGTCTGTCTGTCTATCTATATATTAAATATTTTCATATCAATCACAATCATTTCATATCTAGCTAGAGAACTATGAGATATAGAATAGTTTATATTTATTTTTACAGCACCATGCATATCTATCTATCTATCTATCTATCTATCTATCTATCTCAGTCTGTCTATCTCAGTTTCTATCTATCTATCTATCTATCTATCTATCTATCTATCTATCTATCTATCTATCAGCTGTTTCATATCTATCTATCTATCTATCTATCTATCTATCTATCTATCTATCTATCTATCAATTGCAATATTTTCATATCTATCCATCACAATAAACTCATATCAACCTACGGAGCTAACTACATATTGAATAGTGCATGTTTATTTCAATAGTGTCATGCGTGTCTACATATCTATCTATCTATCTATCTATTGTAATATTTTCATATCTATCTGTCACAACCATTTCATATCTAGCTAGGCAGCTAGCTAGATATTCAATAATTCATGTTTCTTTCTACAGTATCATGAATATCTGTCTGCCTGTCTATCTATCTATCTATATATTAAATATTTTCATATCTATCTATCACAATCATTTCATATCGAGCTAGAGAACTATAAGATATTGAATAATTTATATTTCTTTCTACAGCACCATGCATATCTATCTATCTATCTATCTATCTATCTATCTATCTATCTATCTATCTGTTGCAACATTGTCATATCTATCACAATCATTTCATATCTAGAGAGGGAACTAGCTAGATATTAAATAGATAGTTTCCTTCTACATTATCATGCATATCTATCTTTCCATCTATCTATTTATCTATCTGAATATGTTCGTATCTATCAAAATCACTTCATATCTAATTAAGAAGCTATCTAGATATTCTATAGTTCATGGTTCTTGAATAACTCTGTATCTATATTTCTCATTTCTTCATATCTGTCACAAACACTTCATATCAAGCAATGGATCAACCTTGATATTGTATAATTCATGTTTCCTTCTGCAGCACCAGGCATACCTATCTATCTAGCTATCTATTGCAATGTTTTTATATCCTTTTATCTATCTTAATCATTTCATATCTTGCTAGAGAGCTGCAAGATATTGAATAGTTCATATTTCTTTCTACAGTACCATAGCTATTTTCATATCAATCTATCAAAATCACTTCATATCTAGCTAGGGATCTACCTAGATATCGAATAGTTCATGTTTCTTTCTACAGTATCATGCATACCTATCTATCTATCTATCTATCTATCTATCTATCTATCTATATATATATATATATATATATATATATATATATATATATATATATATATATCTGTTTATCTATATCTCTATCTATCTATTGCAATGTTATCATATCTAGCTATCACAATTACTTCATATCTAGCTAGGGAGCAAGACAGATATTGAATAGTTCATGTGTCTATAGTATCATGCATATCTATCTATCTGTTGTGGCTTCCGTGAAGGGAATCCTGCACAAATAAATAAGAAAAATTGAGATAGAAAAATAAGTGTATTAAACGTAAGAATACAGACTTGAAGTGAAGATTAGTTGTCCAGGAATGCGGGTTAGTAGAAAGTATATGTACAAGTCTCTGTAAGTAAAGCCGTAATCATCTCTCTCTTTGGACTCTTGTATAACTCTCTGAGAACACCCTGTGTCTGACTCCGTATCTCTCAACCTGTCTCCACGTATCTCAATGTATCTCAACGTATCTCCACGTATCTCAACATATCCCAACAGCAGGTATTCTCTCTGTCAGCATAATTATACTTTGGACGAGTCCATGTTATGTAAAAAGGGGAGAGCCCCACAACACTATCTATCTATCTATCTATCTATCTATTGCAATATTTTCATATCTATCTATAATCCCTTCATATTCATTTAACAACCTGGGTACATATTGAATAGTACATGTTTTTTTCTACAGCACCATTCATATCTATCTATCTATCTATCTATCTATCTATCTATCTATCTATCTATCTATCTGTTGTAATATTTTCATATCTATCTAATACAATCATTTCATATCTAATTAACAAACTAGGTAGATATTGAGTAGTTCATGTTTCTTACTACAGTACCATGCATATCTATCTATCTATCTGTATATCTATATATCTTTCTGTCTGTTGCAATATTTTCATATTGTTATGTAGTTGTTTCACAGTGGAGGCTTGTATTTGTACTAAGTCAGTCCTAAAATAGGTTCGATGTAAAAAACGTTAGGAACTTGATATAATAGGTAATCTAGTTGGGGTGGCTGATACTTTAATATTCAACTAATAGTCATCCAACAGCGACTGACTGACCAACTCACTGAGCGACTTACTCATTACTCTTACTACTCCTACTTATTATAGGTGAGAGAGTCTATTAACTATAGAATAGGTGTGTTCCACTATAACACATATCTATCACAATAATTTTCTATCTAGTTAACAAGCTAACTATATATTGAATAATTCATGTTTTGTTCCTAAAGTACCTTGTATATCTATCTATCTATCTATCTATCTATCTATCTATCTATCTATCTCTGTGTACCAATATCAATATCTATGTACCAATGTCAATATCTATCTATCTATCTATCTATCTATCTATCTATCTATCTATCTATTTCTGTGTATCAATATCAATATCTATGTACCAATGTCAATATCTATCTATCTATCTATCTATCTATCTATCTATCTATCTGTTGTAATATTTTCATATCTATCCAATACAATCATTTCATATCTCGTTAACAAACTAGGTAGATACTAAGTAGTTGATGTTTCTTACTACAGTACCATGCATATCTATCTATCTGTATATCTATATATCTTTCTGTCTGTTGCAATATTTTCATATCTATCACAATCATTTTCTATCTATTTAACAAGCTAACTGCATATTGAATAATTCATGTTTCATTCCTAAAGTACCATGCATATCTATCTATCTATCTATCTATCTGTTTGAAAATGCCATCCAAAAATCATGAATATAAGTTTTTCCTTCATTTAAAATTAAGCCTATAAATTAATAGATAATACATATATATTTACCTAAGTTAATATTGAAAAAGAAATATATTTGTCTTTGATCCCTGAACGAAGGGCCGAAGAAAGTCACATATAACCTACCTTCTTTTCTCACATTACTCAGTTCAACACTCTAGAGCTTTCCCATCACTTGGGTCATAGGGTCAGAGAATCAAGGAGTTGACCCTGGGCATCACCAAACATCACCAGACCTCTGCACATCACTGTGCTTCTGTAAATGGTTACAAAAGAAGTTGTGGAGAGTCATGATCAACACCAGATTCTGACACGAGGAGGATGTTTATTTATTAGCAGATTTAACTGTTGATTCTCTCAATCATTTTACACTCATAGTGGATTGTTGCAACAGAATGCAAAGGCCAAGGCCGGAATGGTCAGCAATCGGTCAGAATAACTTGTGGGTGTAGTATTCTGACAGTGATTGATTTGCCCTGTGTTTTAGATAAGTCCAAAACCACATGAATTCAACAGAGAGCTACAAGAATTTTAAAGAGTTGATACACTTGCCAGATCCATGCGCAAGAGACGGGTTAAGACCACATGTGCAGGGATGCTAAGCCAACAAGCAACATGTGACCCCTTGAAGTCTTTCCTTCAAACCAAGCTACCATGTCAGTCCCTCTCGTCTAAAAAAACGAGTAAGAAAAATGTCACCTATTCAGTAGCATTGGGATTCAGTGATGACACAGAATGCAACATTGTTCAAAAGATAAAACTGGATTTATCAGATCTTATCTTTGATTAATCCTCTATAATGTAATAAGTTTCTTTAGCATAAATGGTTTTATAATCTGCAATGCCATTGGTCCTAACTAGACATCTCAATTTCAGTCACTTTTCCACACTCTTTGGGTCCTGTCACTGGATCTAACTAACGCCTTTATCCACTGTGTTCTTGAGTGTGAGTTCAATACCCGGTTAAGGCACTGGAGAACATGGAGAGGGGAATTAACAGGATATAATTGATAAATAACATCTATTAAACATGGCACATGGAACCAGAACAGTCTACACCAGTGAGCAAAATAAAGGGTTCAGTTCGACATTCCAACCACCTGAAGAAAACCAGAGCGTACAATGGCTGAAACATAATAAATATGGCAACAAAGATGAGGACAATAGTCCGAATAATGTAAATAATAAAATCATCTCAGAAATATAACAGATACTGAAGGATCAGATAAATATGGCAACAAAGATGAGGACAATAGTCTGAATAATGTAAATAGTGTACATAATAATGAAATATAGACAGATACTGAAGAATGATAAATATGGCAACAAAGATGAGGACAATAGTCCAAATAATGTAAATAGTGTACATAATACCTCATCTCAGAAATATAGACAGATACTGAAGGATCAGATAAATATGGCAACAAAGATGAGGACAATAGTCTGAATAATGTAAATAGTGTACATAATACCTCATCTCAGAAATATAGACAGATACTGAAGAATCGGATAAATATGGCAACAAAGATGAGGACAATAGTCCAAATAATGTAAATAGTGTACATAATACCTCATCTCAGAAATATAGACAGATACTGAAGGATCAGATAAATATGGCAACAAAGATGAGGACAATAGTCCGAATAATGTAAATACTGTACATAATACCTCATCTCAGAAATATAGACAGATATTAAAAATTTCTATCCATTGAACCCTACCCTCAACATGTGCCACGACTTCTCAACCCCCATCCATAACAGTTGAACTGCCCTGACTTACTGTATTGTCTCAATATTCCCTTATACCTTGAAACCCCTCCCCTCTATTTCCCTAAGTATGTCTGTGAGTTTTTTTTTAATCCACCCCATTTTTTTCTTCATTAGTTCTTCCATGGCTCCAGTCTCTTAAGCCAAATCCACTTGGAAGCAGTTAAACTGCATTGGTAATTTCTTTTAGTGCTCTTGCCCTTGAACCCCAACTATGCCTATTTTTGCTAGGGCTCTGCACAATATCCTGCAAAGCCCTTGCAACCAACTTCTACTCTCTATTCTTCATGATTTTCACCAACATTGCTCAAGCAGTTCTTAGTAGTTGGACGTCTTTCTCTCATTTGCCAGTGTAATAAATTCCTCCTATGACACAGACAGTTCCCAAATAATGGTATTTATCAATTCACCCACAGGAATTGAATGTGGCACAAGGCCTTTTTAATGTGGGTATGTCTGAGCCCGTAGGCCCAGCCAAAAATAAAACCCATCTAAACCCGTCCAAGCGGGCTAGTTCCGTCAACCTCCCTGAACGAAACCCCACCCTTCGGCGGAGCTTTGTCCGGGTTCCTCTCTGCAAGCAGAGAGTTCGACAGACACCCGACCCGGCAGCTCACAAAGTGCAGATACTACACTTTGATCCTAGCCACCGGGCCGAGCGGGTATTCTTTTTAGTTCCCAAATAATGCACTGCTTCTTGTTGTCAGAGTGCAATATCAGATCTGGTCTAAGTGAAGTTATGTCTATGTGTCTGGGGATCTTCAGCTGGGTTTCTAAGTCAACTATCAACTGACAGTCATCTGCGGAAAATAACAAGTTTGTTCTCTCTCTCTCTTCGGTTTCTGTATATTTACTCCAGCTTTGAGGAAGTTAATTTGAGTAAACTTCTTTTTTGGTTGATGCTTACTAGCCCTTATAGCTTTAGTCACCTTGTTTGCAATTGCTTTAAGGGCTTGATCATGGCACCATGGTACTGATAATCACCCAAAACTTTTGGGCAACTACTAAGGATGTGCTATAAAGATCCTTTCCTTTCACTTAGTTGGCAACTGGCGGTCTTGCTCTTCCCCCATACATGCAGGTTAGTTGGTCTCAGTAGGACATCATGTACCGATTTGATAAAAAATCACACCTCATTAAAATCTGACCACCAGCACTCTGACCAGGCAATTCTTTTCTATTCAACATTCTCCCAATTCATCCAGGTTCCCTGCTGACTTAGACCGACCATTTTACAGTATTGTGCTTATTCTATGCCTACATGGACTTCATCTTGGATTAGTTGGTATCTTTCTTTGCTTTTGGCAATGTTGGTTTGTGGGCTGGGAAAAAAACCCAACCCTGCTTTGCCTTTAGCTATTGATCCCAGTATAACTTTATAAGTCTCTCCTCCACCACTTGTAACACTCCTTCAGCACTCCATTTCCTGCCAGATCTTGTCTGAATTCCTGCTGCTACTGCTACATAATGTATCTTCTTTGTACTTTTTCTATAAATACTTCCATGGTAATTGTTCCAATGATCTTTCCTCACTCTATAAATTTATGTGCCGTTTTAGACTGGCAGTGATGCCTCATCATTTTACAGCTGAAATGGCTAGATGTAAGCGTAAGTTCTATGTGAACATTTTCTTTTTCACACTTCTCATTTGTGAAGCTCTCTTCCAGTTTCTTGCTTCCCAGTCAACTTTCATCATCAAAACTTTTAATGCAATGTCAATCGTCATCTACTGTTTTCTTAATTCTTGTTCTTTTATTGTTCTCTCTCCTTAAAGGTGTTTTTTGTTTTCATATTTTGTAACACACAATAACTTCTTGCCTAGATGTAAGAATAAGTTCTATGATAACAGTTTCTTTTTTCCCACTCCCCACTTATGGAACTCCCTGCAGCCTGTTGCTTTCCAGTCAAGTTTGATTTTCAAAAAGTTAAATGCAATTTCAGTTGTTATCTTCTGTCTTCTTAATTTCTGTTCTTTTATTGTTCTTGGTCATTAATAATGATTTCCTTTTTCTCATATGCTTTCACACTCAGTAATTCCATCCATCTTCAAGGCTTTGTTGCCTTGCTTGGGGTAAAATGATTAAAAATCAACATCATCATAATGACCAATAAGAGGCTAAACCATATGTAAAATTATTTTTTTTATTTATTTCTGTACTTTGTCAATTAATATCGACAAGAGGGACTTTCTTCAAATATTGATCTTTATCTTGTGAGAATATAAAATCTTTCTCTCTCTCCTTTCTCTCTTGGATGAGGAACATATGGCTCCCTATCATCTAATGTTTCCACCCATGTACATCCTAAGCTCATTTGGGTCACCCACCTGTTTACATGTCAAAAACATCCACTGACAGTCTGGTGACCAGGGGGTCACCTTCCAAGTCAACCCTCTGATGTACCTGACTCCTCTGATGATCTGATATGGCACCAAATGCAGTCTATTTTAATATTTAGGGTTAGACCATTACATACTGGGGTGCTATTGATCAACTTCCCTTAAAATAAAGGTTCCTTCTTCTTCTAAATGCCATGTTCCTTTGGGACGTAGACGATCATGGCTGTCCACAATTTCCTTTTCTTTGTAGCCCTTTATAAATTTTTTCTTTTAGTTATTTCTCTTAAGACTTTTTCAAACATCCATTTACTCAAGCTCACTAAGTAAGTTATGTGCTGTTTTCCTCTGTCCATCTTGCCTTCAATCTGTTCTGTGGGTATCAGATTTCCCAAGCCTTCTTTCCTCATTATTTCCTCTAGGAATTCCAACTGTCTGTTCCTGAGTGACGAATTTGATTCAGACCTTGTGTATTTCTTGGCATGAATTAGATACTGAAGTTTATTAAAATTTTACACACCTTCAGGCTTGGAATACAACTCACTACATCAGATGGAGTTTTTGCAACAGAGAAAGCCGACCCCTGAGTTTGTTTCCGGTGAGGAATGGGTGTCACATACTTCTCTTTAATCACAGTTTGGTTCACTCCGTTACCTCTGAATCAAAATTTCCTTTGGCTGCATTTCAATAACAGTGCTTTGAAAGTGAATTTTGATATCTTCAGTTGATAATATATTTCATAATGACCCTTTGCCACATATTTCAGTTCAATAATTGACCATCTTTGAACATCAAAGAACTGTTTGAAACTTACTATTCTGATCGTAATCTTACCTGATGTCATACTGTATGCAGATTACAATCAATAAACTTAGAACAACACATCCAGAAATGCCTGAAGCAATTACTTCAGTTTC